AATAATAAAGAACATGGCGCAATTAGCGTCGCACAGCGACGTCAAATCGTAAAATTCAAGAATGTTCACAAGTTCATACTCAGGTTATTGGTACTGTAGAAATACAGGTACTACGTTAAAAATGCAATAATTACAGTTGTTGAATATTTATTTCTGCATCGGTTGTCACACTGAGAAACAACATAAAGCGCAACGAACAGGATAGTGTGGCTAGTCCGGTGACCGATAAATACAAACGTATAGGCCAGAGTCTCATGGGCTTTTGTCAAGGGAGGATGCTTGAAAAAAAATTCGCCAATATAATTGGCCGCCCGCAGCGGTTGGTGGTTACGGAGCCGGAAAGTAAGCCTTCGGTTCGTTTTGCTTCTTAAAAAGTTTGTTGGCGATAGGGTTAATAAAGTTTATTCAGTCCTCCCGTAGTTCATATCCTTAGTCACTTTTGACACTCATGCAGAAATGGACGGTAAACGCCTCGTTTACGCTTCCATATGGCTAATGTCACTGACAATGCCACTACAAGCAGATCATCTCTAGGTTAATGGAGTATTATTGCCTGATTTTTCGCACACTTAAGACCGTGAAGGCTGGTGAGATAATATATCAGAGACGCCAAAAAACAGCTGCAACTTGTTATCCAACAAATCGAAGGAGCGATGGGGGTAGAAATCTTTACCAGGAACTACGTATACCTAGTACATGATCCCCACAAACCAGGAATACAATTTTTATATGCGAGATGGTGACAGTGGCAATAAAACTGCAATTAACATAAGCAAAATAGCAATTAACATAAGCTAAAGAACAGACACTGTTATGAAGAAAATCTTAACCATTTCTCCTTTCGGGACGAGGAGACAGACCCGTAAGACACATCGCTTCCAACCTTCCTGCTTCTGTGCCACGCCTGAATTTCGGCGTATGACAACTGGAGTATGGAGTAAATTCCTTCAACATGTTTGCATCAGGTTGATTTGTACAACAACCCTCGTTTGCCAGTGCTCTGATGTCTTCCACATAGCCGTTACAAGTTTAAGCCAGCACATGCGTGCTGCACATATCAGGGTAGATTTTACCTATTACAGCAGCCTTTTTCCTTTTCAAACTATTCACAGCTTGTGCTATTTCATCTACAGAAATAATAATATTCATCTTCTGCTCTTCTACAGACGAGTGATCCCGCAGTTGCTCGAAGTTAAGGAATTCCTCAGAGTGCTCTCTTCGTCGTCGAAGAATGTCCACTTTTCGGTAAGATGGTGTCAAGAACTGTTCTTCAAGAATCTTAGACTGCCCATCTTTATCAGCTCGGAGCCAGCGGATAGTCCACCAGAAAACCTTATTTGCTAACTTAAAACTTGAATTGGCTAACTAGAATTATGCAAGAAGCCGATGAACTTAGTGGCGAATACTCAAGCTTATTACTTGGCCATGAAATCGCAACTATGGTGATCTGGTGAACTGTCCGCCGGTTCGGGGTGGAAAAATGGGCAGTCTAAGAGTCTTGAAAGATAGGTTTATACATCTTGTTACTTGGAATAAGAACATTCTTCGGCGATGGAGAGTATTTTGAGGAACTCGGTAACCACGAGTAACGGCAGGAAGACTCGCCAGCAGAACAGTAAGGAATGAACATTATTATTTCTGTAGTGGAAATCATAAAAACTTTGAAAAATAAAGAGGCCGTTGGAACTGATGAAATCCGCCGTGAATTGCTCAAGCCATTAGGGGACCACGGAATGTGCTGGCATGCACATCTAACCACGTATTCACCATTCGGCAGACTGCTGATAAATCGTCGGAGTTCGCCCATCCGGTGTATATGTGTATTTTGACCTGGACAAAGCCAACCATCTCTGGCAATACTTGCGAACATATGAGATTGATCGTCATTTGCTAAAGTCACAACATGCTGATAATGCGCGCTGCGTCAGAATAAATGGCGTTAAGTAGAACCTTTCAGCGCTGGCACTGCTCCCTGCTCAAGATGAATTCCGTCTCTTCTCTTGTCTGTATTGTACATTGAAAGAATAATCAGGCACAACCAAGGCGATGAGTGTATCGGTGTAGGAGATGCCGAGACAAGAGATT